AGAGCAGCATCCCTACAGCCTTCACACACTGCTGCTTGGAAGTGACTTACCCAAACCATCGCAGGCAGTTTGGCTTTTGCTGGCTCACCAGGAATGAGCTACCTTCTGCTCCGATGACAAAGACACAAAATATTGCTGCACCTGCCATGTGCTGCCCAGAGGGGTGCCAGCCACGGTGACTCATGGAGCTTCCAAGGGACACGACTCCCACAAAGCCCAGCTGAGCTGACCACAGCTTCTGCTGAGACAGACAGAAACACAGAGAAGGCCAAGTCTGGAGCTGTGCCTCCATGGTACACCATCTTTGTCTTTAGTAGCTTCTCCTTCACCAGAGGGTCCTACACACACGTTCAGCATCTGTGCTGCCTTGCACAGCCTGAACCCAGGCTGGGTAGCCAGCCACACTCTAGTTTGCTGTGCTTGAGGCAGCTTGAAGGGATAAATGAATGCACAGTGAGCAGCTCAACTGCTCTGCCTCGAGGTGAATGCCATCTGCCTGCCCTGTCGTCTCCCCTGCTAGCACTTTGGTTTGATACAAACCCTTGCATCTGCAGAGGGGTTCTGGCAGGGCAGCCTTTCCAGGCCCCTCTCGCTGAGCACTGGTGCCAAAAATGTTAATTACACCATCACAGCCTCTCCAAGCTCTACTCTTACACAGGAGCATTAACTGATGAGCTTAACAAGGAATTTACCACTCATTCTGATTCTTCTCATGAGTCGTTCCTGAACTCATCTGCCAGCTCCCTTTTTGATTTCTCCTCTGAGCACAGCTCCATCTTTCGAAGCAGTGCTGACAATCTTCCCTGACTCTAGAGGCAGTCTTGACTCTACAGTTTGCCCATTCTCAGCAAAACCCACCCAGATCCAGGTCCCTCTTGTCTCTTCCCTGCCAGCCAGCCAGGTCATGCTGCTGCAACACTCTCAGAGGGGCTTCTGCTCCCTGTTTCTCACCCAGCCCTTCAGAGCTATGTGTCTCCTCTCCCCACTCTGGGCAGATCCCAAGACTTTCAACATCAAAGTTGCCATCCACTAAGCCCAGATATTTCCAAACAGCCTGGCTGTATTACACCCACCTATAAACAGGGACATGCCAGTCCTTGTTCTCTTCCATCCCATTCCCTTCCCTTCCTGGAGAGGCAAAGGTCACCCAGCCGTGGGATTTCAGCTCTGACACACCGATCTCAAGCTTTCTCCTCCCTTGGCCAGGGCTCAGTTCCCACCCACCCTCCTGTTATCCATGCCCTACACAGCTGAAAGCCAGTTGAGCTGAAAAGCAATGGAGAACTCAAGCTGTGTTTGGAGCAAGGCAATGTGTTTGCTCACAAAGGTGAAAAACCAGTGGCTCAGGATGAGGCACAGCTGTGAGATATCAGACCACGCTACTGGTTGTGCAGGGTTTCACAGAGCAACCACAATGAGTTTTCACATTGAAGACCTGCCCTGGAAGTTCTCTGGAAAGCTCCATATCCAAGGATCACAAAGAGCAAGCTCCTGTGTTAGCAGTGATTCATGGCTGCCACTGCCAGCTCTTCCCTATCCCAGCTGGAATTTCTCACCACCCTGCACCACAGGGCCCCGTGCTCCAGGCAGGACCTGTTTTCATTGCACAGAGGAGTTGGGTCCAGCTGAAAGGGATTAAGCTCCATGCACAGGCATCTGCTAGCCTGGAGCAGAGCACGAGGAGCCATCCTCCCCTGCAGACTGGCACATCCACAGCAAGGGCCAGTTCTTCTCACAGCCAGCTGGGGGGTGGACAGCCAAACTTTGGGAGCAGCCAACACCTGAGCCACCCTTTGGGAAGCCCCTAATTCCAGGGATGCAGGTCCTACCTGTGCTTTCAGGACAAAAGAAAAAATGTGGGAGGTGGTTCTGGTTCCCACCCCACAAAACAGTCCCTTTGGCTGCAACAACATCCAGCTTCTCACCACATGGAGGGGGCAGAAAGTCAGGTTGAGTACAGCCAAGTTTTTTTTCTACAGAAAGGCATGGACAATGATGCCTGGGGTCACAAAAGCAGGCAGGAACCCCTTAGAGAAGCAGGGACCTGTGACAAGGGCTCCAGAACAGTGGAGCACCTCCTCCCACTGAAGAGCATTCCTCTGGAGACACCTGGGCTGACTGTGCCTCTCCAGCTCTGTGCAGCACCAAACCTGTGGGAAATCACAAGTGTATCCCATCTTTCCAGGTCTTTCCAGGGCTCAGCTTGTGCTTTAGCACCTTTTGTTCCTTCTTTGTGTCACTCTGATCAGGAAGCTGAGCTCGAGGTCTCCAGAGGCCGCTCTGCACCCACACCAAGGACAACCATGGGCTGCAGCTGATCCCTCACTGCTCCTGAATCCCCCAGGTGCCTCTCCCAGGATGGAACACACATCTCAGCGCACCAAGTGCCACCACAGCAACCAAGGGGAAGCTAAACCACGCAGCAGGCTGAGCTCACAGCAGGACAGAAAAACACGTCTGCTCTTGCCCTGAGCTGCAAATCCCAAGAGAGAGCTACAGAGAGCTTTTAAGATGAACCAGAAACAAATTTATAGCTTTATTGACACCAGTGTCATGGATAAAGACGGGTCACACATCCTCTCCCCTCATCAGCCACTGCATGCTGCATAGGCAAAAAGCACTTGTCCCATCCCATCCCTACTTTTCCTGTTAAATGTCTAACTTCATCCTACAGGCACACTTGAGATAAAACCTAAAAGGTCCTACTTCTTGTCATTAACCTCTGCCCATCCAACAAATTTTCCCCTTTTTTCCAAGCTTTAAGAAAAAAATCCCAACAGAACCAGTAAACCCATATATCAGAAAACATTTATTTTCCTTAAGTATGCTAGATTATGCAAAGCTACCTCTTCTAGGATCTCCAGACCTCACTGCATTCAAATCCTAAGCTTGGCAGAGCTGCAGTGCCAGCTGGCACAGGGCAGTACAGGTGATCAGATTGGCATAAGAGCCCTGACCCTCCCATTCCCCACCAAGCTGCACTCAGCTCAGAAGCATTGTGTCTGACTGTTCTGAGTAACACTTGCTATTTCATTTATCTCAGCCCAGAGAGAAAATGAGGCAGGGATAGCAAATGAATGAGTGCCTCTGCATTTGGGGTAGGGGAGAATCCTAAAGGTGGAGGTGGTGAGTGTTACCTGCTACAGCCCAGGGCAGAAGCACAGCAAAGCTCAAGGTACTCATCTACAAGCAACCAAGGAAACGTGCTTCATCTCCTCCAGAACCAGGAGCCAAGGACTGCTGCAGGATGGTGTGGGGAAGAGAACCAGCCACCGACTCTCCTGTGGAGAAGGGAAGGCACTCCACCAGAAACAGAGGGGTTGGGTCCCAGGGTGTTTTAGGACACAGCTGAACAAAGCCACAGAATCCAGATCTGGTGCTGGGACCGGCTTTTAAATAAACACCCACATAAGCACAGCCCGGTCTGCTTCACAGCTCTGAACTGCTCCAGCCACAGCTGAGGGCAGCACCACCCCACCATGGCCAGCTCCTCATTCTGTTCTACTGCCAGGCCAAAACCCCGTACATTCCTACCCACACCAGCGCCGGTGGACTCGGGTCTTCACACCAGGCTGAGCTGGGAGGGTCTCCTCAGCCCAAACTCAAGACTGACATCTCTGCTGCCAGCCCTGCAGGTTTCCTACCAGAGCCCTGAGCCCCTCTGTGGGCACCCTGGGCAGAGGCAGCAGCTGGCACGCAGCACAGCCTCCCTCCAGCAGCGCCAGGGCAGCGCCCAGCTCCCCTGCCAGGGAGCAACAACCCAGTCATGGCATGACACAGCAGAGTAAGCACACTCTAGAGACATCTCCCAGGAGCCTAAGGCTGGGAAATAGACTTCCCACAGGTGCTCAGCACACAAAACCACACTGAAGTATTCAGAAACCACTCATGTCTTTCCTTAACTGAAGGAATAGGCCAAAAAGGTGGTTAACAGCTCTTCTGTGGCACAGAGACTCCACACTTCCCAGGTATGCACAGATTTACAGCACAAGGCAACAAATGAAATTTCCTTCCAAGCCTCCAAGCAAAAGTAGATGAGTATTGGAGTAAAAACACCACTGCACCAAGGACAACTCAATTTCAGTCATTTATTCATTACAGCACTTGAAGTTACTTGGTGGCAGGTACATGGTGAAGGTCTCCAGATAAACAACAGGAAGAATGGTTGGTACAACAGATTTATATAAAAAGAGTTAAATAGATAAAACAACATGGTAACCTCTCACTCTTGCCCTAAACAGAGCAGACTGGCCCTGAGTCCAGGTTAACAGCATCCTTTCAAGCCAGTCATGGTTAAAACCCTCAAGTGCCCATACCCAGGGGACAGTAAGGCATCTGTTCTCACAGTTGAGGCAGGTGTGTGCTTCTCAGGCCAGCTCTTCAGGAGCTTGGTTTCAGCTGCTGTGCAGACCCTGCCTGCCAGTAAGGTTCAATCTCTTTGAGCAGGTCTGTAGAGCCAGCCCAGCTTTGGTGAACAAGCGTAAGGGCAGCCCTGCTGAAGGTGAGCCTTCAAGTACATCAGGATCAGCCACAGGTGATGTGTTTGAGCCATCTGCAAGCACCAGCAGAGCCAAGATGCAGGGCAACACCCCAGACTGCTGCCTTTACTGCACTGAGCCAGATGGAAACCACAAGTTCTGAGGCTGTTCCTGAACCACACACAGTTCAGTCATGCTTCTGCAAGACACTACTTTGCAACTGTGTTAAGACAGACTCTGCCTGCTGGAGGTCTCCAGTTTTACGCCAAAAGAAAAATCCCATAGCAAAAGGTCTAAGTATTTCTCTTCAGTTTTCACACTTCCATTTTCAGGAACTGTTCACCTTCTGTCGAGAAGGAAGATTGTGTCTGAAGCCATGTGCCTGCAGAACAGCTGGCAACACAGGTAGCACCAGAATGAAGAAACCCCATGTTACTGATACAAGACTCTCACCCCACTGAGACCAGCTTTACTTAATCTAAGAGATCATGGTATTTCTCTAGAGTCTGCTCCTCCAGTTCCAACAGCTTCTGGTAAAATTTCTCAGCAGTGTCTTCATCCACATCCATCTGGAAGGCAAGGAAACAGCACCGTGAGACCATCACCCTGGTGGTAGCCAGTGCAGACAGCGGGGGCAGCTCTGGGGATAAGCACGGTGCATTTCCAGAGCTTTTACCTTCACAAACAGCCAGCTAAAGACATCTGTCACCAGGGCATAAGCCAGAACACATTTTGGGGAAGTATCATTACACACTTAACCTGTTCTGATCATCACTTCCATTGCCTTCCAGACTCCAGCCTAAGCCAGGAGTTACTCTAGGAAACACTGCAGATAACCCCACACCCCTTCCTGGTACTTAGCATTCAACAAGCATCTTCCTTCCACTCCAGGCACACGACACCCTTGGCACCAGCCCTCCTACACAAAGCAGATGGCAGACCCCCAGCCAAGCCCCCTGCAGCAGGAAGCTCCCTCTCCATTGACCTTTCGAGGCTCCACGTAGCATCTTCCCAGTCCAGAAGTACAGCTGTGGTATTTGACAAGAGAATCCAGGTACTCTGGCTTCTGTTTGAACAGCCACACCTGGGAAGAACAGCACAAAGTTGTACAAGTCCAGCACACACTGTCCCAGCCACGCCTGTGGGGAAAGACCTGACTGCCAGCAGCATGGGAGAAGACACCACAGGTGCTCCCACCAAGCAGGGAAAGATGTGACATGAAGGCTGGCTCCTTCAGATGTGACCCACCTGAGCCAAGAGTAACAGAGGTTTCTGCTGAAGCAGCTCAGCATGGCTGTGCTTGAGTCACGCTGTGCCCCCCATCACCCACCTCCATCCCCTGTGCTGCACATCGTTCTCCCTGGTCAGGATGCTTTCCCAAAATCATTTATTTTATGGGTACTGGATGAAGGTCCTAGAGCTCCTTGTGGCTGAGCAGCCCTGGGGACAGCTGCTTCCCCACACTCACTGCTGTGTGGTATTTGGGGGTCAAGTACAGCTCCAACCCACCAGCCTTGCTGAGAGGCTCTTTGCTCCAGCCACAAGACCCCAGAAGAGCTACTCAGAAGGAAGCAATGTTAAAATCAAGTTATGAACTACTTACATGAGCTTCTGCTCCGTTATAGGGTGTCAGAGTATAAGTTTTGGCAAAAAATCGGATCTGAGGGGAAAAGAAGGACATGGCAGAGTTTGTACTGTGGCCCAAGGTTTGTTGGCAAGCCCTGAGGAGCCCAAACACTCCAGATAATCTACCAGAGGTACAAATGCTTCTCAGACTGGGCAATAGGTAACACAGCACACCAACTAAAGCATCCCTTTACCACCACAAACTGCTTTCTGGAGCCCCCCAGCAAGTCACCAAGTGTCACTCCATGGTCCCACACAGAGTTCACCCCAAGGCAGGAGCAACAGGCCACACACACCTTGCAGGTGCCTCTTCTGGAAGCGTCTCAAGGGCAGGAATGGCAGGAGGCAGAGGGGACCTGCAGGACTGCCAGCTTTGAGGACAACTGAGAAGGCATTGCCTCTCTGCTGCCAGGAGAAATGTGATCCACCAGGATCAGCTGCTGCTACTGGGACAGCTTAAGATGAAAGGCCACTCCTGCAGCAAGAGCATCAAGGCTCAGAGCAGGCAGCCTTCAGGGACAGAACTGCAGTGAACCTGAAAAGCTGAAGCCCAGAGGAGGAAAGGCAAGGGAACTTCTGGGGAAGCAGGGGGAGAGGCAATAGAGAGCAGGAAGCTTTGCTTTCCATAGCGTTGGAAAGAAAAAAAAACAACACTGCCTTCTAGAGGAATGAAAAGCACACACTGGAAAACAGGTTGTTCTAGAACTGAATGGCACCTCAAAGCACAGGAGCCAAGCTGGGGCCACATCCTGAGCTCCGCTGCCAGCAAGCTAATAGTGTTTCACAATCCCAAACAGAACTGGCCAGCCTTCCAAGGGGAGCTTTGACAAACACTGCTGCAGCTGAAGGGCCAAACCCTGCCCCTCTGCAGAGTCCAGCACCAAACCTCCAAACTCAGCTTGGAAGCTGGGGCCCCAGGATGAGAAGGTTTACAGAGGGTCCAGCCTGCCCAGCCCAACAGAAGGAAGACATCTGTACCAACACAGGCAGCAAGGAGCCAGAAGTGTGCTGTACATCACTTGCAGTGAAGCGTGTCACAGCCCAAAACCAGCCAGGATATCCACTCACCAACCACATGATGGGCATCAGCAGCTTCCACAGAAAAACAGGCAAAATTCTGTATGTCATGTTTGACATAACGAGCCCAGGACAAACAACACTGGAATATAGACCCTGCAGAGAAGAAACCAAGTCAGTGTGCAATTACACCACAGTTAAAAGAATGGGTCATGCTCCTTCCCTCCCAGTACTCCTCAGCCAGAGAGGGTGTGTACAGACATCAGACTGTGATACTCCACTAAGTACCAGAGCAGAGAGCAATTAGATGTAGGGATTTTAAGAGGTCCAAATTGGAAAGGTTTGTGTTAGATGCAAGCCCATTACAAACCCCCAGGGTAGAAAATGCAGCCTCCTGGTGCAATCTCCAAGCAGCTCAGCAGCCACAGCAGATATCCCACAAATTACAGCCCACTCGGACTAAAGACTACATCTTTAGTATGTAAGAGCTCAGCCTTTTGGGACTAAACCATTTTCTCCAGAAGTGTTTGAGAATGGCACAACCACTGCTGGACCAGGGCTGCAGCTGCCAGCACAAGCCATCAATCCGCCAGGACAGGGAAGGCAGGTTGCTTGTACAGCTCACTGGCAAACCAGAGCCACAGCACAGAGCCATCAGCAGAGCCTGCAGCTCCAGTGCTTGCAGGCAGCAGGGCCAGAGCAGCCCCGTGCTGACAGGCAGGGAACCTGAAAAAGCAGAGGCCCTTTGCTCTTTAACATCAATTCTGATCTAAAGAGAACAGCTTGCAAGGTAAGAACCACTCCCAAAATTTCCCGCTCTGGGAGGTTTTTCTGGCAAGAATTCCAGAATCTGGCAATCTCTCTGCCAGATTCTCTACCCCCTACACCACCAGTTCAACCTCAGCCATGTTTAGTTCTTACCTGTGCACTAAGGAATGCATCAGATTGCTATGAGGGAATGAATGCAACTAGGTAACAACAATGTCATGCTAATTACAAACAGTAGCAGCTTATTAGGTTTCTGCAACACAAACCCCATCATCACCTGGTCATTAAATTTCCTGTTCAGAACCACACTTGTCAGGTCAGTAGCATATTTAGAGGAACTGTATGACTCCTGCCCCTTGGCATGCTGATAGTCAGAGAGGCTGAAGGCAGACTCCCTGGCATTGCTGGAGGAGGTCCAGATGAGTCGTGAGGGCTTCTCGTTACCACAGAGTAGAGACTGAAGCTGACGAACCTGGAAAAGGAATTGTTAACTTATTTAACACAGCAGTTTCCCAGTCTTAGGGTGTAACTTTACAGCACCTAAGACTGTGAGCTTTTCTCAGCTCTCTCAGCCAGCTTTTCCTAGACTACCAAAAGCAGACACTTGTATGAGCAGCTGTCATTCTGCTGGACAGCTCAGTTGAGCACCTCAGAATTTAATACAGCCAACCCTGATTTGTCCTGGATGGAGATCTACATATGATTGACTTCTATCTGCTGGCTCACTAGAGTAACCTCAAAGTTATTATAAACTCTTGCAACAAAAGTTACCATTTATTGCTATTTCAACAAATGTCAAGGCCTTTGCCCTATCATTCTTTATCTATCAGGCTGCAGCCTCCGTCAGCATCAGAACCTGTGAGCTCTGTACTGCCAGACCCATCCCTACCCACATCAAACACCAGACTGAGGGTTCAATCTTCACACGAAGCCTCACCAGCATAAAGTGTCCAAAGAGATTGGTAGCAAACACCTCCTGAAGCCCATCTCCATTCAGCCTGTCCGTCTGGGTCATGATGCCTTCTGCAGTGGTCAGCATGTGGAGCACCTTCCTGGAAGCCAAGAACAGGAGTTAGTGAGGAACACTGCCAGGGGGAATCCACCACTCCCCCACTTCAGCCCTTCAGCAGTAGCCCTCGCCTCACGGGCTCTGCACAGCTTCACCTTCAAGGGCAATATTAAACCATGAAAAAAATAGATGGGAAAGGGCTAGAGAGTATCCCAGGCCCTTTATTTGCAAGTGCCTTGATACTGACTAGACGAGAGAAGACTTATCCCTTCCTTCACTTTCCCATAGTCAAGTATGTTAAAAACACATGCCTCATTTCATGCTCAGATAACTTAATCAAGCTCCAGCATTGAGCCAAGCCCTCAGGCCATGCCTAATGCAGCAAGGAAACCAGTTTGGCACCAGTGCTCAACAGCCCAGCAGCTCTGTTAGACTCACCCAGGTCACTGCTCCTCAGCTCAGCCTCCCCGTGCTGCCTACACAACAGTGATGCTCACACCAACCACGAGCTTCACAAAATACTGTGAGCCACAGCTATGAGCAGCTACAGAAACCTACGCTGGCATCACAACAACAGTAAGGAGACCCAGACTTCACCACAGCAGCACGTCCCATGCAGTGGCAGGGGCTGCAGGCTTTGGGCGACCTCCTGCCCTCCCCTTGAGCCCAGCGGGCCTCACAGCAGGGAGCAGAAGCGGCACCGAGTGCCCTGCACCACTCCAGCACGGCACTCAGCCGACAAACCGACCCCACACAAGAGTGCATCCCAGGGATGTGCTCTGTCCCACACCAGGGAGGGAGACAGGCTCCTCAGCACGGAACCCACGGGCACATCTCGCCGGTGCCAGCACCCCGTGCTCGCCACAGGCGGGGCTGGAAGCCCCGGCCACATCTCCTACCCGGTGAGGAGACCGTGCCAGAGAGCCTTGAAGTTCACGTGCGGGTTGGGCATGATCCCAGCGTTGAGGTAGACAAAGTCCAGGCGCTGAAACCTGCGTGGAGAAGAGCACAGGAGCGGCGGTGGGAGTGGGTCTGAGTGCCCGGCGGGGCGGAGCGCGGGCAGGGGGTGTCCGATGGGGGCAGACCCCACAGACCCCATACCTGCAGCGGAGCTCACGGGCGGCCCGCAGGACGGAGGCCAGGTTACCCAGGTCCATCTCCACGGTGGACACCTGGGCGGCGGGGTGGGTGGCCAGGATGAGGTCCCGCGTGGCTTCGCTCTTCTGCTCGTTGCGGCAGGCGATGCACAGGTGGATGCGGCCATCCTCCTCCAGCAGCCGCTGGCACAGCGCCAGCCCCACACCGCTGCAATGGGACGGTGTCAGAGAGAGCCGAGCCGAGCCGAGCTCATCCGAGCTCATCCCATCCCATCCCATCCCATCCCATCCCATCCCATCCCGTCCCGTCCCGCAGCGCCGCTCACCCGCTCGCACCGGTCACCAGCACCACGCGCTCCATCACTGCCCCGCGCCCGCCGCCCCCGCCCTATAAGCACTGCGCGCGCCCGGCCCCGCCCCGCCCTGCCCCGCAGCCAATCGGCGTGCGGCAGGGGGGCGGGACCAGTGCCGCCGGTGGCGTGATGGTGAGCCGAGCCCGGGGGGCGGGGCCACAGGGACGAGCCCGTGACCACGCCCCCGAGGGACACGCCCCGGCACGTAGGTCACGCCCACATCATGTTGGCTACGCCCCTTCCGCGCAGGGCCCGCCCCCTCCGCAGAGAGCCTTGGGTGTCCCTTCCCTTCCCTTCCCTTCCCGAGCCCGTTGTGCCCCGCTCTGCTCAGCTCTGCCATCCTTTGCCACCGAGGAAGGCAGAAGTGCCCAGCCGGCCGCCGTTCATGGCGCCGCCATGGCGGGGAGGTCTGGGTGCGCAGACCCCAACGGGAGACCTCCGGGACAGCCCTGCTCCTGGCGGGGTCCCAGCGGGAGCAGGCCATGGACACACCGGACCCCACAGCTGCCCCCCAGCCATGCAGATCGTGCAGAGTGCCCGGGCAGTGGGAGCTGCAGATGTGCCCCAGTGCTCCCAGCCTGCAGAGGCGCCGCTGGGATGGGCCACAACGCAGGCAGAGGGACACCGGTTCCGTGGCATGAACAAAGCCCGTCCTCGTCTTGACACGCTCAGCAGGGATGAGACATCCATCCTCTGTCGCAGCCAGGAGGAGCACGCGGGACACCAGCCGCTCTCTGCGGGGCACAGCCCGCCATCCCTGCCCTCCCCTCTCCCGACCCACGGGCCTGCCCCGGCCCTGGACGTGTGCTGCCATGGATGCTAAGCCTCCGAGCATCCTCCCTCCCACCCGCTGGTGTGGGTCAGCCAGCTGCTCTCTTGATCATCCTTGCTCCAGCGCTCAGGCTGTTTCCTGTGTTCCACACCACATCCCGGCACACAGTGCAGCTAGGGAGCCCCCCAGCCCCGGGGTGCCCTGGGGCAGGCGAGCTGAGCTGCCTGCAGAGCGCCACAAGGAAACCATGCAGCCACATCACATACCGAGTGTCTCTTCAGCGGGTTGGCCCCTACACATAGGTGCATCTACTGAATATACACATGCCTTAGCCATGGGATACTGGGAGCTGTGCCACGCGCGCCTGCTGGTGCTGAACTAGTGCGTACAAAAGTGTGGAGGGCTCCGTGGACCCTCCAAGTCCGCAGTTCCTCCTGCCCAGCCACAGGAGGGTCCGAGTCTGGGGCGTGGTGGGTCACCTGCCAGGGCACGTGGCTTTGGCACCTGCCCAGTTTGCTCAGGATGCTGGCAGCTTTGGGAGCACAGATGGGTGCCAGAATGCTGTGGGACGCTCAGGGTGGCAGAGCCCAGCTCAGGTGCTTCAGCTGGACTGTGACCCCAGGCTGAGAACCAAGGAGAGCTGGAGCACCCTGCTCCATGCCCGTGGCCTTGTTGCAGGCATGGGCAGCGGGCAGCTGCCAATGAAACTCTGCTGCATGCATTCTTCTCCTGGCAGATGAAGATGTGGGTTAACCCTGGGGGAGGAGGACCTGGAGATTTCCCCATGGAACTAAAAGGTGCTAGCATCCTGCTGCCAGCTGCCATGCATCACCCGTGGGGCATCCAAAATGCATTTCTTGGGCAGTTGAGCTGCCCTGGAGTGGCTGTGGTCAGTGAGGGAATGTCCCCTCGGCACAGGATGCCTGCTCCTTCCTGGCTGCACACTCCAGCAGCTGGGTGAGGTGCCTGGAGCACCCCAGTCGTCACCCTGTGCAGCTGCAGCTGGGGCTGGCTAGCAGGGAGGGCGCTTCCTGCCTCTCCATGTGGCGTGTCCAAAGCCCCAAATGTCTGCAGAGTCTTTGTTTTCACCCCTTGATTGCACAACCCATTGAGAGCCGGAGGCAGCTCCCAGCTCCTCCTGAAGCAGTGGTGGCTGCCGGTCTGTCCCTGCTCCAGTGGGCACACACCTGCACACATCCCTTCCCCAGGCACCTGCCCTGCGTGTGGGCTGAGCTTCCTCACAGAGAAAGTCCCGCTGAAGTTCATCCCCTTCAGCCAGGGAAGAGAAGCCGCTCTGTCCCAGTCCTTGTCACCAGTCCTTATCGCTGCACCAATAAATAACCCTCCCCAAGCCCGCACTGCTGCCGGGCTCAGGTCTGCAGGAAGAGGGAGGTCTGAGCTGTCCCACGCCGTGGGGCTTTGCTGTCCTTGGGGGTCTCCTCTGAGGCCTCACTGCACAATGAGAACACGAGCAGCTGCTCAGGGTTTATGGCTAAGTCTGAGTGAAGTGGCTTCGTTTTGCATCTGGGGCTCCTCTGGGGACAGGGAAGGATGGGAACCAGGGCAGGTGGGAGCCAAGGGTCATTCTTCGTTGGCTGAGTCCTGCAGAAGGCGATGGATGTCCTGGAAGGAGGGACGATCTTTAGTGTCCCGTCTCCAGCAGCTGAGCATTAGCTTATAGACTGAGTCAGGACATAGCATGGGCTGGGGAAGGTAGGTCTGCAAAACAAAAGGCAGAAACGGCAAAGAGAGAATTACTGCCACAGAAACCGATGTGCAAACTGCTCCTGGAGAGCCCCGTTTCTCAGGGTGCCCCATCTCTCCATGGCCCGGGGTGGGGGCTGCGCTGCCGTGTGCCCAGGGGCAAGGTGGCTCCCAGATGGCACAGTGAGGCAGCTGGGGACACCTGCCTCTGTCCCCCAGACTGAATGCTGCAGTGGGGTCAGTGAGCAAGCAATGCCTTGGGCTGCGTAAAGTGCAGTGTTTGCTACCATGGGCCCTTCACCAGGATGCCTTCCCAGAGGAATTCCTGTCCCATAGCTGCCTCACAGCCAAGCTCCCTATGTGGTCACCTTAAAGTCTCTCCCCAGGCCCCTAATGTCCTAGGTGCACCACTGGTCCTCTTGTCCCGTCCCCACCTGCCGGCCCTGGTCCCGGAAGAACTCGCCGGTGTTCTCGATGACCTGCTCATCAGACATCTGGGAGTAGGGCTGCTCCCGGCAGAGCGTGAAGGTCTCCCACAGTGTCACTCCGAACGCCCACACGTCACTGGCTGTTGTGAACTTGCCCTGGCCAGAGGGAGCAGAGCAGGGTCAGGCATGGGCTTTACCCCATCCTGCTCCGGAAGCTCTAGGTGCTCAAGGATCAAAACCTCATTCTGGATGCTTCAGCATCCAGATCTGGTCCCAGAGAGGCGCTTGGCCCCCCCACAGACCTGCTTTCTGCTTGGGGCCAGAGCCTGGTGAGTTCCAGGTCTGGCTGGCAGTGACTGCTCTGGGGCTTGCCAAGGACCCAGCTCCTGAGAAAGGTAAAAACCAACACTGCTCCCTCTTCCAGGCCTGACCATGGCCAGGATGAAATGCCAAGCATCCCACTTAAAGGATGTCCTGCACTGGACATCAAAAATCACCATAGTCCCCCCAGCCTGCCTCGAAAAGCTGCCACCACTCCCGCTTTCCCCATGCTTCACCCCAAATCTGGGCTGCAGTGAGCAGAGACCTCGCCATCCCTCCTGCACCCCCCAGCCCAAGGAAACAGGGCAGTGAGCATCCCCAGAGCCTTGTCAGTGTCCATCAGAGGAGCCCAGGCCCCCTGTACCAGCAGGATGCTCTCCCAGGACATCCAGCGGATGGGGAGCACCGCCCGGCCCTGGATGCGGTAGTAGTCCCCACTGTAGAGGTTCCTGCTCATCCCAAAGTCGGCGATCTTGATGGTGTAGTGCTTCCCCACCAGGCAGTTGCGCGTGGCCAGGTCCCGGTGCACGAAGTTGAGGGACGAGAGGTACTTCATGCCCGAGGCGATCTGGGTGGCCATGAACCGCAGGTCACTGTCGGGGGCACACGGGGCGAGTGAGCAGGTGGAAGGAAGGAAGTGGCGGAAGGAAGGAAGGAAGGAAGTGGCGGAAGGAAGTGGCGGAAGGAAGGAAGGAAGTGGCGGAAGGAAGTGGCGGAAGTGGCGGAAGTGGCGGAAGTGGCGGAAGTGGCGGAAGGAAGGAAGGAAGGAAGGAAGGAAGGAAGGAAGGAAGGAAGGAAAACAGCCAGAAGGTGCACAGCTCCAGGCAGGGTGTCCCAGGAGCAAGCAGCACTGCCTGCCCCTGCTCTCCCAGGCAGCCCTACCTGACGGTGGGTGCGTGAGCAGCAGCGGGGCCACCTGCCTGCTGGCGGGACAGGAACTGGTTGAGGTCCCCGTTCTCCATGTACTCGGTGATCATGCACAGGGGGTCATCTGTGATGCACACCGCCAGCAGCCGGATGATGTTGGGGTCCTTCAGCCGCGACATGATCTTGATTTCCTTCAGAAAATCATTCCTTTCCGGAACAGAAACCACACGGATGGGATAGACAGACCCAGAGGGGCACAGAGGTGAGCACAGACTGGCCAAGAGTGCTACCCGCCCACCCAAGCCTCCTGAGGGACCTGTGGGTCCCTTCCCCTGGGACTGGAAAAGATGAGCTGCAGGGTGGGCTCAGCAGGCAGAGAGGCACTGGGGAGCTGGTTAGGACCAAGGATCCTGACATGTGATAGCCCAGCATCCCCAGAGAGCTCGGGTGTGTGGTCCTTGCAGCTGCACTGGTGGCTGATGGAGTCAGGGAATGCTTTCCCAGCATCCCAGCTCTCCTGGTGAGGCTCTGCACGGGGGCAGAGCTGGGGTGTGTGCCCCCCTCAGCCCCTACCTGGCATTCTTGTTGGCATCTGCTCGCAGCATCTTCACAGCCACAAGCACAGGGTGGTCAGAGCTGCCATCCAAGCCCTCCAGGGCAAAGTCCTTCCCTGTGAACTTCTCCATCCCCTCCACTTCACAGAGGTGAACCTGGGGGAGCAAGGGGCAGCCATTACCTCTGCTGACAGCCTTCCACAGCCCCTGCAAGCTGGGAAGAGCTTTGCCTGAGCCCTGCTTGGAGCAGGCCCAGTTTCCACTCACCTCCCCAAACTGGCCTTCCCCCAGCTTCTCC